GCCCTCCGGTCGCCGTTCCGCCCAGGGGAAGCCAGGCAGCGCCAGCCGTCGGGGGCTGCCGTTCTTCACTCTCCGGGAAACTTCACGCACTTCCCGGGGAACGTCCGTTGCCTGCCCCGAGGGTCTTCGGTGAAGGGGAGTGGTCCCTTGTACGCCAGCAGGATGGCGCGGACCATGAGACCCGACGACATCAACCCCCGGACGGGGCTGGTGGTGGCTCTGGTCAGCGTGTTCCTGGTGTTCGGTTTCATGTTCACTGTGTCCGGCATCAAGGGAGAGACGCTGGGGGACATCCCGCTGCTGGCCATTGGGCCAGCCATCTGCCTGCCGGGTATCGCCGCCATCGCCCTCACCAGGAAGACCGATGGCTGCACCAAGTGGCCCAAGAACAAGTGTCCGTGCTGCAAGCAAGTCAAGGACCGAGATGTCATGGAGCTGCTGAGGACCCCTTCGGACCTGGAGTCTGGCAAGGGAAGTTGCGATGAGCTGGCCAAAAAAGCGTACCAGAAGGATGGGAGGGTGCTGCCAGGTGAGGACTCTGTGTCCATCTGCACCACTACCACCACCACCACCGTGGGAGAATGCAAGAGCCTCATCAGAAAGGTGGATCAGGAGGAGATGCTGAGATACCTGGAGGCCTGTTACCCAGAAATGCCGGGGAATGTCTTTGTGGGAGATGGCTCCATGTACTTGGAGAAGAAGAGCTCTTCTCCCACCAGGGACAGCACAGCTTCCCCCGACATTGAAGACAACATTTTTGTTGCTCCTAAAGACAGTATCATTGTCTGCTCTTACAAAGAGAACAGCCCTTATGACAGATACTGTTGTTATGTAAATCCTACTGGAGTCAACTCAGACCAGGAGACCATAGTGTGAATGATGCATACTTAATAGATATGTATGTGTACAAAAACTACAATTTCAACTTCTTGATAGGGGATACTATAGCTGACTGCACTGCATGGGACAATCCTCATACTATTACAATTTAACCTGCTATGTGACTGATACTCAAACCTTTTGTGCCTGAAATACTCTTTCTGTAAGTAAACAAGCATGTTTAAAGGTTAAATAACTCAATTCTTTATTTTGGAAAAAAGAAATCACATTTTAATTTTGTTATCTATATTTCTGTCCCTTTTGTTTTCCTGATACCTCTTGTACCCAAGCCCATAGACACTGGCAGCAGTGGCTGTCAGGTGAGATCAAGAGCAGAATCAAAACTGGAGCTGCCTATAGGAAAGAATATGGTTCTCTCTGGCTAAGCAGGTCTTAGTAATATTGTCACTTTGTTTGGGGAGGGATGGAGAGATGTCAGCATGTACTCCCAATAGCTGGCTCATGTTGGGCAGTGTAGAAGTGATTTGTCTTTCTTCCTTCATCCTGGCAGGATTTTATCTTCCTTTGCTTCAAGGAATTCATGTGCTGACCCTGCGGACTCTTCTGAAAGTCTCCTGGGAGCCAGATAGTCTCAGGGGAGTTTTCAAAGGCTAATTCATCAGCAGTAGCATGCAAGGTGCAGGTTTTAGCTTCATTCCATACTGGCACTGAGTTCACTGGAATGTTTCTAACACTTTAGGATTTTATAGGCATACTTGACAAGGAGATTACAACATGATAATGACTCAATTCTTTCAAAGACTAGGAGCAGATGTCAGTGGACTCAGATCTTAAAAATATATTTCAGTACCTCTAAATTCATTTAGGGATAAGACCCCCATGGGTTGTGTTCGGAGCTGAATCTGACTCTTCCAAAAATGTCATTTTCGTGTGCCTTTTCTAAAATGCCAGATGTTTCTCTATGTCTGATGAATGATTACAGTCCACTCAGGGGTCTCAAAGCCATGCCTTGCTAGGGGCAGGGAACAGAGGACCTGGCTGACAGATGTTTTTGTTCACAGTTTATGCATACATAGCAAGAGAGGTATGAAGTGAGGAATGAAGATTAACCATTGAAAATCTGAGTCTGCTGCAGGAAGGGGAACACAAATCCCAGCTATTCCGTCCAACAGTAAATTGCATGTTCCATGCTATGTATAAAAATCTTACCTGGCCTCTACTACGTAGGTAACAGAGATGTGGTGTAATAGGATGTGCATGCTAAGCCACTACTTGAAGGGTTAAGCTCTTAGGGTAATAGTTACTAAACACCAGAGTAATTTGCTAATTTGTATTGAATCACCAGGGTAGGAGAGAAGAAAAACAGCCTTTCTTTTGTAGCAGTCTGAGATGTAGTGTAGAAAGTGGTAAGGAATTTTTGACTGAAATGAGCTGCCCACTCTTCACTGTCCATGGATTTGTTTGGAAAGTTAATGGAAACTTCATGTGCCCACTAGCTTGTTTGTTTGGAAACTTGTGCCAAATTGTTACAGACAACCAGTCTCTGAAGACATTTCCAGAAGGAGGAAATATGGTTTTTTTACATAAGGTAGTTTGGTTTCTTATAGACCTAACAAGATGTTAACTCTGGCCAGGCTTTGGTGGGGGTATCAGGTTGCTATTAGAATAAAGTAAAAAAATACTAGCTAGGTTGAGTCAGGCAAAGTCTCAATAGGTGGTTACAGGCAGCTTTGCTGCTCTGGCATGGAGCAGCAGTGCTGTGGGAGTCAATGAACACTTATTTTCTGTACATCCAAAGTTTTTTCCACTGAGCAAAGGAATTCCACAAAACCAGGCTCTCTCCCTGACATGTCCAGCTTCCACTTCCACATAAAAACACTCTCTGAGGCAGATTGTCTCCTGCAGGTTTAGTCAGAGCAGGACCTCATTCTGCTAGGTACAGAAAAGCTCTTTGATGGCACTCTGAAGTCTTATTTCATGACCTCTGAAGCCAACAGCTAAAATACTGCTAATGTACAAGATGAGGAATAGGGTCATTTGTCTCATGTTCACAAGGGAAGCAGGTGAGGGTCTCAGCATATACCCATGGGTGTTCAGCATACCTGAAGACCAGACTCACAGTGAGGAAGCAGGCTACCAGGAAGCTGCATACTGCCTTTGCCAGGGTTTTGAACAATAGCTTGCCTTGCATAAAAGAGCAAAGCTTCAGCCTGCTGGGAACCTGCATTTGTAAAGTTCTGCAAATATATATTGAAGAGGTCAAGTTTTTCAATTTTGTCAAGGATTAGATGTTCTCTGTCAAAAGTTATATAGGGTTTTATGAGGCAAGACAGTAAACTCTAGTGACAAATAGAATGGTAAATATGTATCTTGAGATACAGCCATGCAGGACTGAGTCATGTGCTTTATTCCATTCTTAGTATTAAAACAAGAGCATGTTTGTATTAAAGCAAAGTTTAATGGAAGTGAAAATTTCCCACAATGTAGAAAGAGATAAAAGAAGATATGTTTAAAATGCGGTATTTATCAGCAATGTCCTTTTTTAGCTGAGGTAAGACTTCATTAACAAAACACAAGTTTAAGCAATATTTCTAGGCTAATCCACCATAATCTACTAAGGTTTTTTTATTGAACATGTGAAAATTTGAAGTTAAAGAAATACATTAATACTGCCTGTAAAATCTCTTGCTCCATGATTTTTCCTTTCTTTTCTGCTAGTTAAGCAGAGTGGTAATTGGCCATTTTAAACATAAGAGTTAAAATTTTGTTCATTTAAAAATGAACAATATTGGTGTTCAGTTTTGTGGGGGCTTGTGTGTTTTTGTTTTTTTGTGGTTTTTTGTGTTTTTTTTTTTAAGTGAGCTTTTTTCATACGGTTTTCCCAGTAGAAATCTACTGCTTATTTAATGAAAGACAGCAGCTTCAAGTTTTTTATGTAGATACCATGACCCGGCCAGAGAATTACTGGGGCTTCGTTTTTATTCAGCCCAGCCACAAGAGCTTCTTTCTGTTCTTGCTCGAACTTTGGGGCCAAATTCCGCTTTGTTTCTCAATGCTATCCTCCAAACAATGCACACACCTGTAGTGGAGTGGGTTAACCCCTGGTTTATTTGAAGTAAATGGCCATGTATTTCTTGGTCTGATAGTACATGCATTAGCGTTTGAAGAAGACTGGTGATCTGGACATGCAGAGAAGGGTCCTAAGAGAAACAAGATTTATTTTTAGAATAGCGTTTATCATAGTGCTACAGTGGAGCATACCTTCTTTTAAGAAACTTGATATACAGATGAACTATACACAAGGCAATTTTGTGTTGCTTGTTTTAAACTTCTATTTTCACAATATCATTTTTACAGTCACAACATGATCATTGCAAAGCCTTTAATAGAAAATTTGGATTTTAATCAGTTTGTCCTCATGGAGCACTAAACAATAGCTGGTCCTTTCTGCCTGAAACTGAACAAGCAGAGTGTGAGCATGCTTAGGGTTCATGTCCCTTGGGATTGGCATTGTATTCTCGACCTGCATTCTGCAGAAATGTGGTGCTCTTCCACAGGCAGTTCCTCCCCATGCCTTCCAACCTCTCTGCAGTCCTGGCTCCAGTAACTATTTATTATGTTGTAATTAGCAGAGTAAAAGCCACTATGACCTCTCTTAGCATTTCACCTCATACATGCCAGGCTGTTTGCAGAGTGAGCTCCTGCTCTTGACCTGGGTGTTAGAACCTGACCCTACACCATCTGTCCCATGTAAGCTGTTACATTGAGGCATCCTGCAATATTGTCAGTCCTTGCAGCACAGGCCTGGGATTTTGCATCTCTGTGTAATAAGTTTCACAGTAAAGGTGCTGTAGAGATTGGTTAGGGATGGGTAACTGTCAGGCCACAAAGGTGCTTCCAGCCTGATTTTCATGAGCATCTAGGGATTGATCTATTTATATGCAGAGCACAATCTGCACTCAGAAACTTGAATCTGAACACATTGCTGGTAAAGCCATATTGCTAGAGAATGCAGTGCTGACATGGGAGATTTTCTGAATCTTGAAAGGTTTCTGTGAAAGTTTCAAATATCAATCACATTAAAACTGTAGAGCAGTTTCCTAATACGTAGACCAGAGAAGTTTTCTTGACACATTCTGAACACACAGAATGGGGCATCAGCTGCAAAGCAGCTCATCCTGAGCCCATTTTGGCTCTGCAGCTGGTCAGAACATGCTATCCCTGCTGTGAAAAAATGGTCACCAGGTTGTAACTTCTCTCGGCCCTTTTATGCTTGATCTTTAGAAAAAACACAGAGAGTGGATCTAGAATTCGCTTTTGATGCACTCTGGCAAGCTTTCATCAGTTATTATCACCTTTAATATAACAGTCATCTCAGTGGAAGAGATCCTGTATGTCTTTACCTGGCAAGGAGATCCAGCTATCATTGGTTTATTTTCTGTTCAGAACAGTGGCATGGATTAGCCCCAACTATCCTATTGTCAGATGCTCAAAGAAGTGTTTATGCTTAATGTTTTTACTTATAAACACTGCACCACATATAACTGCATATGCATTACACATCTGTTTGCAAGAGCAGGTCACAGAATGCACCATAGCAATATATTAATTTGAGATCTTCTCAGAGAACCACTGCGTCTTTCCAACACCTCACCCAAATTTTATTCCGCAGCCTATTATTGCAATTTAAAATCCCTTCCATCCTTGAAGAGATGAGAATTTTTCTAAGAAGAACTCGACTGTGGCTCTTTAAGGACACAAAGTTCTCCCAACAGCATACACAGTTTAAATGTCCCAGGACTGTACTTCATTATAACCCCTGTGAAAACCCAGCTCTGATACCAATTGAAAACTTAAATTTTTCAGTGCTTTGCATTCAGCATTTCCCCAAACCACTGGTAAAAAAGCCTCAAATCCTTCGTCAATTCTGATAGATCCAGCAGTGGTATTTTTTCAACCTACAGCTTTGTTACTTAGCAAGGGGAAAAGGGTTAAAATGAAAATCTGTCTGTGTACTTTTTCTAGTGAGACAAGAA